CTGCCGCGCCATTATCACACTTTTTGTGCATCACAAGATTCGATTGACGGCGCAATGGATCCCCCGCGAACTTAATATCGAAGCTGACGCCCTTTTGAAGATTGACCTACACGACGATTACTTTCTTGCACGGACGTGGTTCCTTTTACTCGAGCGCCGCTGGGGCCCACATTCAATCGACCTATTTTCCTCGTCCTCCAACGCACAATTACCCCGCTTTTGCTCCCTGGATTATCATCAGCATGCGGTCGCCCAAGATGCGTTCTCTCTTAGTTGGAACGGAGAAAACTGCTACGCCTTCCCACCACCGTCCCTGATCCCAGCCGTCCTCGCCCATGCGCATCAATCTCGTACTACAATAACTCTCGTTATCCCGGAATGACCTAGCGCCCTCTGGTGGCCACTACTTTGCCCAGACGGCACTAAGTGGGCGCATGATATACGGGCGAGCATATATCTCGCTCACGGTCCATCATGTCTACGTGTTGGTAGCGATACGCTGGCCTTTAGTGGTGCCGGTCTCCCCCATTCGCATATGTATGCTCTTCGTTCTAATCCATAGTCTTGTAAACCTGCATGTTCATATATTAGACGTTTGATGGGGGATCTCTTAACGCTTACTGTCGATTTGCGCGCCCAATCCACGATCCGCACATACGAACCCTACTGGCAACAGTATCGCACATTCTGTCAAGAGCATTCGTTGTCGTTTCTCCCTGCCACTGACCTAACATCCGCGCTATTCTTATTGCACTCAGTACGCAGGGGTGCCACGGTCTCCGCCGTGCGAACTGCCTGCTCCGCAATTTCATGCGCCCACTGGTTGGTCGGCTGCCCATCTCCTATTCGAGGACCGCTCTCCTCACAAGTAAAGGAGTACGCGAAACGACACTGTGACAAACCTTCCGTGCCAAAGGAACCTATACCCCCTGCTAAGATTTACGACATTTGCGATATCTACTTCTCGTCGACAGATCCTGCCACCTTCTAGCGCGGCCTCATCCCTCTTCTTATGTTTGCAGCTTTCCTGCACTTCTCCGACCTCGTTGCCCTTCAATGGCACCAAATCGAGTTCGACCGCGACTGCATGTGGCTGTTCATCTCCTGCTAAAAAACGGACCAGGCCGGCACAGGCGCCTGGGTCCCAGTTGCCGCCTCTCCTGCCCGCCACTGCCCTGTCACTCGCGTACGGCAATTTCTCTTCCTTGCTGGTTTCTCTACGCAAACCTTAGGCCCCCTTATTCGGGTGCTCCCGCCTGCTGCGCGGGCTTCGCCATCAGATCGATCCCCATCCTACGCCACGGTTCGAGGCTGGTGTCGCGAGGCATTTTGTCGTGTTGGCCTCAACCCGAATCTGCTCGGCACGCATTCCTTTCGCAAGTCTGCCGCCACCGTGGCTGTCGATGTTGGCGTGCCCAACCGACTCTTCAAGGCCCTCGGCCGGTGGCGTAGCGACAAGGCTCGGGGGTTGTACGTCACCCAGTTGGACCGCGAGTTGGTGGCGGCATCGCGTACCCTTCAGGATCCGACGAGATGTAGCCCGACCTACCGTTACGCATCCACTCTCGCATCCATCGTCATCCTCCGCATATTTGATGTCTCGTTTACCTATGACGACTGCACTGCACACTCCTCGGAGAGTCGTGTCACAATATGTAAAATTTTTAAAGTTAAAATTCTAAAAATTTGAAGATTGTGATTCGACTAGAAGAGGAGTTTGCTGTAAAGGAGACAAACTCCTTTTCATTCCGGCAGGTCCCTCAGACCTGCCACCTAGTCTCATTTGCATTTTCCGATCTCCAATCTTGCTTCCCTCCCACCCAATCCCTTTTAAAATAGTTACATAGAGTTTATGATATCCTATTTGAATACTCATTGTTATTGCTCATTTGAGTGTGCTGTACAAATGGAATTTGTAATGCTATGACGACTGCACTGCACACTCCTTGGAGAGTCGTGTCACAATAAAAAAATGTCATATCAGTAGACCAGTGTGGTATGTAGCTTTTTCCGATGAGAAGCCCCCCCCCATTTTTTCCCTGGATTTATCATAACACCCTAGGGTGTTATGTCCGGGAAAATACGTTACTAATGAACACGGTATGAAGTGTGGTGCGGATGTTTCAAGGAATGTTAGATTGTATCAATGTAGCAACCGAAATTGATGGGGCCGTTGAAACAGCGAATACACGCTGCCCCAACGACGATGACAACCTCTAGTTGCATACACGATGCAATGTAACACCTTGCCTTGAATTGAAACACACACATCTCACAAACACGAAATGCACATCAAGGCTAAGTTGCGAAGACATCAAAATGGATGCTTAATATGCACCAATGCTGCAGCTGAGATTGATGGGGTCGTTGACACAGTGAAACACACTGCCCCAACGACGATGACAACCTCAACTGCAAACACGGTGCATACCAGCACCACACCTTGAAGTAATCACAACCAACTGACACACAAACAAGCACACACCCACGCACGTACGATACACACACCCACCCACACACACACACACACACACACACACACACATGCACTGGCACACAATGAGGAGAGAGCAAACAAGCATAACAAAGAGTCAGACACTGACACACACACACACATACTGGCACACACACACACATACCGTTAATAAACATGCAACCATCACGAATGGAGTTCAGTTACCATTCATAAATCATCGCTAGCCTATCCCCTCTTTACCCTCCCTACACCCCTCCTTCCCTCCCTCCCTCATCTCCCTCCCACCCCCTCCCTCATCTCCCTTCCCCGCCAACCGAAATAAAAAATGCAGGTCATGCGCCTTGCACAAAGAAAAAACAGAGAATGCAAAGTACACGCCCTGCACAAGAAAAGGGCAAAAAAAGAGAATGCAAAGTACACGCCCTGCACAAGAAAAGAGCAAAAACAGAGAATGCAAAGTACACGCCCTGCACAAGAAAAGGGCAAAAACATAGAATGCAAAGTACACGCCCTGCACAAGAAAACGGCAAAAACAGAGAAAGTTCACACACTGTGTACAAAAAAGCACTAAAACATATAATGTAACTCACGTGCCCTGCGAAGAGGCCAAGCAGGAAACGCAACTCACCTGTAGAAAGCAAAAACAAAGAGTACACCTCACATCATTGCACATGAAAACAAAAACAGAGAATGCAGCTCACGCATGCACTAGTAACGAAATAAGAACAATAGAAAACAGTGTTGAAGAACGTATAGATCAATCAAAGACAGCAATTGAAATTTCACAATTCACAGTGCTAAATTGGAATCAGTCGTGGCACCGCAGATACTACACCGGAATGATGCAATACCTTGCAGCCACCCTTCATCCTCACGTTCGCACTCACTCTTGTACTCAATCTCGCACCCACTCACACACGCACAAATACTATCAACTTTCTTAGACACGCTCACAGAAACAAACATACAAATCTACACGTACATTCTTGCACAGACCCTCGCACTCGTGATCATTCTCATTCACAATAACACTCACACAAAAACTAGCACGCTCACGCAAACACACTGACACGCACCCTTGCACTAACACTCGCACTTGCTCTCGCACTCACCCTAGCACACACAGTCGCACGCACTCTCATCCTCGCACGCACACCCTCTCATCCTTGCCTCTCTCACGCGCACTGTGACGCGTACTCTTCCACGCTCTCTCTCTCTCGTTCTCTCACGTGCACTATTACTCTTCCGCGCTCTCTCTCTCGTTCTCTCACGTGCACTCTCAACTCTCACGCGCACTCTTTCGCGCTCTCTCACGCATCTCTCACGCACTCTCTCACGCGCACTTTCACGCGCGCTCTCACGTTCTCTCTCACACGCACTCTCACACGCTCTCTCACGCACACTCTCACGCGCACTCTCACGCGCTCACTCACGTGCACTCTCACGCGCACTCTCACACGCACTCTCACGCGCATCCTCAAGCGCTCTCTCACGTTCTCTCTCACACGCACTCTCACGCGCTCTCTCACGCGCACTCCCACACGCACTCTCACGCGCATTCTCACACGCTCTCTCACACGCTCTCACACGCTCTTTCACGCGCTCTCTCATGCGCACTCTCACACGTCTCACACGTGCACTCTCACGCGCACCCTCACGCGCTCTCTAACGCGCTCTCCCACGCGGCTCCCATGCGCACTTCCCCGCGCACTCTCACGCGAACTCTCACGCGCACTCTCACGCGCCCTCTCACGCGCTCTCTCACGCGCGCTCTCACGCGCACTCTCACGCACTCTCACACGCACTATCACGCGCACCCTCATGCGCACCTTCACGCGCTCTCTAACGCGCTCTCCCACGCGTCTTCCACACGCACTCCCACACGCACTCCCACGCGCACTCTCACGCGCACTCTCATGCGCACTCTCACGCGCACTCTCACGCGCACTCTCACGCGCATTCTCACGCGCCCTCTCACGTGCTCTCTCACGCGCTCTCTCACGCGCACTCTCACGCACTCTCACGCGCACTCTCACGCGCACCCTCACGCGCACCCTCACATGCTCTCTAACCGCTCTCCCACGCGTCTCCCACGCGCACTCCCACGGGCACTCTCACGCGCACTCTCACGCGCACTCTCACGCGCCCTCTCATGCGCTCTCTCACGCGCTCGCTCACGCGCTCTCTCACACGTCTCCCATGCGTCTCCCACGTGCACTCTCATGCGCTTGCGTACGCGCTCTCTCAGGCGCCCTCTCACGCGCTCTCTCACGCACTCTCTCACGCGCTCTCTCACGCGCTCTCTCACGCGCACTCTCACGCGCACTCTCACGCACACACTCACGCGCACACTCACGCGCTCTCTCACGCACTCACTCATGCGCACACTCATGCGCTCTCTCAGGCGCACACTCACGCGCTCTCTCACGCGCACACTCATGCGCACACTCGCGCGCACTCTCACGCGCACACTCACGCGTCCCTTCACGCGCACACTCACGCGCTCTCTCACGCGCTCTCTCACTCACTCTCTCGCGCGCTCTCGCACGCGCTCTCGCACGCGCTCTCGCACGCGCACTCTCACGTGCACTCTCACGCGCTCTCTCACGCGCACACTCACGCGCTCCCTCACGCGCACACTCATGCGCACACTCACGTGCTCTCTCACGTGCACACTCATGTGCACACTCACGCGCATACTCACGGGCACACTCACGCGCCCCTTCACGCGCTCTCTCACGCCCTCTCTCACGCGCTCTCTCACGCGCTCTCTCACGCGCACTCTCACTCGCACTCTCACGCACTCACTCACGCGCATACGCACGTGCTCTCTCACGCACTCACTCACGAGCACACTCACGCGCTCTCTCAGGCACACACTCACGCGCTCTCTCACGCGCACACTCATGCGCACACTCACGCGCACTTTCACGCGCCCCTTCACGCGCACACTCACGCGCTCTCTCACGCGCACACTCACGCGCTCTCTCACGCGCTCTCTCATGCGCACTCTCACGCGCACTCACACACGCTCTCTCACGCGCACACTCACGCGCTCCCTCATGTGCACACTCATGCGCACACTCACGCGCTCTCTCACGCGCACACTCATGCGCACAGTCACACGCACACTCACGGGCACACTCACGCGCCCCTTCACGCGCTCTCTCACGCGTACACTCACGCGCTCTCTCACGCAATCTCTCACGCGCACTCTCCTACGCGTTCGCTCCCGTGCACACACTCTCCCTCGCGCTCCGTCTTTCCCTTCTTCAAATGAAAGTGCAATGCAAGAGGAGACCAATGACACACAGAATTTACGAAGAAGCGAAAAAAAAAATATATATATATGTATATATATATACATATATATATATATCAGAGGGGGAAGGGTGGATGAAAGGACCGGAAACGCACCTGATAATCACGGTGCCTCAGAAAACAACCCGCGCTGGCGAACCAACCCACGCTCACGCACCAACCCGCGCTCACGCACCAATCCGCGCTCGCGCACCAACCCGCGTTCGCGCACCAACTCGCGCTTGCGCTCGTGCACCTGTCGCCGGAGGCGACGGCCGGGAGGAGGGAGAGGCAACGACGGGGAGGGAAGGAGAGGCGACGGCGGGGAGGGAAGGAGAGGCGACGGCGGGGAGGGAAGGAGAGGCGACGTCGGGGAGGGAAGGAGAGGCGGCTGCGGGGAGTGAAGGAGAGGCGATGGCGGGGAGGGAAGGAGAGGCGACGGCGGGGAGGGAAGGAGAGGTTATGGCGGGGAGGGAAGGAGAGGCGACGGCGTGGAGGGAAGGAGAGACGATGGCGGGGAGGAGGGAGAGGCGGCGGCGGAGAGGAGGGAGAGGCGACGGCGGGGAGGAGGGAGTGGCGACGGCGGAGCGAGAGGCGGCGGCGGAGGGAGAGGCGGCGGCGGGATGGGAGGGAGCGGCGACGGCGGAGGGAGAGGCGACGGCGGGATGGGAGGGAGAGGCGACGGCGGGATGGGAGGGAGCGGCGACGGCGGCTCGGAGGGAGGGAGACGCGATGGCGGGGTGGGAGGGAGCGGCGACGGCGGGGTGAGTGGGAGAGGCGACGGCGGGGAGTAAGGGAGAGGATATAGTGGGATGGGAGGAGAGGCGACGGCTGGGTGGGAGGGAGAGGCGGTGGCGGGGTGTTAGGAAAACTGGATAAATAGATGCTAGGTAAGTCGTGACTGTAGGATTCGGAATTGGTGGGTTCAGAGGGAGAAGCACTCTGGGTGGGGAGGAAAGGGCACCAGGTGCTCGTAGACCAAGAACCAAGAACCAAGAAGAGTCAGCGTCGAATTCGAGTTGACAGGTGTGAAATGAAAAAAAAAACAACAGTTTTCTCTCATTACAAGATCCTAAAGTGTTTTGGAACGATTCCAATTTCACATTGTCAAGGTGACTGTATAATTAAGCTGTCACTTTAGATATATGATGTTTGTAAAGCAGGATTGTAGCCGTGTATGTCAGAATCCCAACCACTAGACCATTGGGATAAAAGGGCTTGTTAAGTAGCGGGTCAGTGCGCCCATAACCCCCTAGGACAACGAGCCTGTAACCCTTCCCTAGGATCAATCGGGCATCCCCAGTGTTGGTTTTCATACACCCCCCCACACATGGATGCCCTAGGACACGGCACAGCGGCAGCGCCAACATGTGCACACATGGGGATTCGAACCCGAGACCTTTGCTCTGATACCATGTCAGAATCCCAACCACTAGACCATTGGGATAAAAGGGCTTGTTAAGTAGCGGGTCAGTGTGCCCATAACCCCCCATGACAACGAGCCTGTAACCCTTCCCTAGGATCAATCGGGCATCCCCAATGTTGGTTTTCAGACAGTGTAACCACTCGAAACTTGTCACCAATGGACAATCCGAGATCAGTTGCAATTATTTTGTTTGTAACCTGGTTGGACTCCGAAAAAACGGAAGTAATTATCAACTCGCATTCTTGTGACAGCAATAAATTAGACTTAGTAACGAACGAAACAATGCCACGTGGTTCAGTGCGCTCCGAAAATTCTCCACTCAATTTTGCACTACAAGAAGCAGGAACAAGCAGGCAGAAACAGAAGCAGACAAAAAACAAAGCACAGAACGAACATCGAGCAAGAACCAACAGCGGTTGGTTGGCAAGAAAGTTTTCTGCCCGCGCAAACGAGGCAACGAGGCATGGACATTCTTATATTTTAGTGATATGTATGATAATGAGCACGATTGGCGGAATTAAGAGCCTAAACGAAACCTGGGCAATTGGAAATTTAAATATCAAGCTTAAACAAAGCCTGGGCACTTGACAAAAAAAGGCAAACACGAAATTTGAAAGCAATGTAACGTGAAACACACGCATAACCAACTAACGACACATCGGAGTCAGCTGGAAACAACTAACCCGCTATAGTAAATCGTAAGGGCAATATAATAAGATGGATGTAAAGAACATTGTCTATCATAATCACAAAAAGAAGGGAAAATATGTCAATTGTAACTTATATGGGGCACTATAACGCGTACGGTAACGATTACATGTTCTTTTTACGCGTTTGGTAACTCGCTTAACGCGTTTGGTAACTATACACTAGCAACCGATCACACTTATGGTAACTAGAAGAAACTCTAGCCCAAAATGACCCTGATCCTGGTTTTTCCCGCTCGCGCCAGACTAGATTGACGAATCTTGAAGCAGGAAATTCTGACACACTTTTCGAAATTCTGACACACTTTCTGAAATTCTGACACACTTTCCGATATCCAGGCTAATTACGGTAATGTAGCTATTGTGAAAACAATTGTTCATACATAACTGATATTCTGGCGCTCTTTCGGAAATTTGTTTGTACTTCATTCTATCGTACAACCGGGGCAAACAAATGTATACCCCCTTTCAGATGGCAAATAATTTTGAGAGAATCAACCCTAAACTCCTTGCGACAAGACGTGCTGGGTAAATTTCTTAAATAAAGCATGCAATTTGAAAGAGGTGTATTGTTTTCCCACATGCAAAATTATCACTCGTTGCAGTGATTACAAAAAAAAAAAAAAAAAAAAAAAAAAAAAAACGTCGCCTTTCCTGGAAACTTTTATCATTTTGCAAGTATGCAATCATGCTAGCAAATATATTATTTTAACTGTTAGTACTATTTCTCCGAGCTATATTATATATGAAACCGCTCTGAAATTATTTTTGTCCTTGGTAATAGAACAAGCGCGATCCTTCAAAGTCACAAAAGGAATCGTTCAATACAGATAAAACGGTGCGTAATGTCAAACATATCTGATATAGCCTGTTTAGGCTGTAGTGGGTTAGACCTTAGGGGGTACAGCTTTTCTAGGTTTTCCTATTTGTACCCATCTCATTTCTAGTTCACACCATTCCTCGCTAGTTTTCTCACATGGTATAGAGCGGGTTCCCTAGTGGGACCGTTTTCCCTTGGGCCCACCACGTCGAATATTTTTTTTCCTACCCTGCCCGAATCGCGCATCGCGCTCTGCCCTGTTGCCGCCGTAGCGGCCCTACCCTTTCGGCCCGTCGCGCCCTTAGCGACCCGCCCTGCCTTCGCGGCCCTTAGCGGCCCGCCCTCTCGCCCTTCGCGGCCCTTCGCGGCCCCTTCGCGGCCCTTCGCGGCCCCTTCGCGGCCCTTCGCGGCCCCTTCGCGGCCCTTCGCGGCCCCTTCGCGGCCCTTCGCGGCCCCACCCTGCCATCGCGGCTCTGCCGTCCTGCCGCCCTGCCGTCACGGCCCTGCCACGAGCTGTCGCGGCCCTGCTTGCTGCCGTCACGGTCCTGCCTGCCGCTGTCGCGGCCCTGCCTACCGCCGCTGTTGCGGCCCTGCCTACAGCCGCCGTTGTTGCGGCCCTTCCTGCGCCCGAGTCGCCGCCCTGCACTGCCGCCCCGAAGCGGCCCTGCCCTGCCGGCGCGCCACGGCCCTACCCTGCCAGGTGCAGCCCTACCCCGATCCGCCCTGGTAAGCGCACTGCTGCACCTTCGCCGCCCTGCCGAGCCGCGCAGCCTTGCCGGGCCGCGCCGCCTAGCCGAGCCGCGCCGCCCTACCGAGCCGCACCGCCCTGCCGAGTCGCGCTGCTACTGCTACTGCTACTGCTGTCATGGCTTGCCCTAACGTACTCACCTTCGATGCTGAGGGTCGAGCGGTCGATTTTGAGGTCTGGGTCGATGATCTGCAGCTGTTTCTGCAGTGCGATAGCAAGGATGGAGTCTCGCTTTTTGACCTCACGTCTGGCGCCTCTGCTGCACCTGCTGCTGATGCTGCCAGTACTGTTCGCTCACAGTGGACCACGCGTGATGATGCTGCCCGCCTTGCTATTCGTAGTCACCTGCCGTCTGCTGAGCGCGCTCACTTTAGCCAGTACAAGACCGCTAGGACTCTGTACGACGCTGTTGTTGCGCGCTACTCCTCCCCTGCCACTGCTGCCCTTAGCCGCCTCATGCTGCCGTACCTGTTCCCTGACCTAGCCGCTTTTGCCACAGTCGCTGACCCCATTACGCACCTCCGCACTAGTGACACCCGCTACCGTGCTGCGCTTCCTGCCGAGTTCTGCGCCAAGAACCCCCCCCCTATGTACATCACTCTCTACTACCTCGTCACCCGGCTCCCTGACTCCCTTCGCTCGGTCAGGGACCACTTCCTCTCCCTTTGCCCCACCACGCTCACCGTTGACCTCCTCGAGGAGCGCCTCCTTGCAGCTGAGAAGAGTATAGTCGCTGTAGGAGCCTCTCGTGGTGACCCTCGTGCCCCTTTCTTTGAGGGGTGCTCCCCCGTCCCTCTTTTGCCCTCTGTTGCCTCTGCTGCTGCTGTCGACCTCGTTGGCACCGAGTCGGTCGGCGCTGCGTCTGCCCCTAGTGGGAAGCGCCGCTACGGCAAGGGCAAGGGGGGCAAGGGGGGTGGAGGGGATGGCGGGGGCGGCGGTGGTGGCGGTGGAGGAGGTGGAGGGGGTGGGGGTGGAGGTGGGAGTGGTGGCGGGAGTGGGGGCTTCGGTGGCGGCAGTGGA